GTCCTGGACCCGGTGGCTTAAAACTCACGCCGGGCGTGTGTGCGTGCGTGCCCAAGATCCCGAGAGGAGAATGGAGGAGAGAGGATTGAGGCGTGACCATCCCCCCTGGGGGGTGATTTCTCGCTTTCTGTCTCTATGTCTCTCTCTGTCTGTCTGGCGAGCGCACGCGCCCTACAGTGAAAATCTCTCAAAAAAAAAAAAAAGAAAAAAAAAAGATTTTACTTATGGGTGCCTATTCAGTGACAACTTCTCTGATATCCCTAAAGTTAAACCCCTGGGGCCAGACAGTGGTGCAGCAGTAACACAAAGCTCTGTGGACTGATCCATACGGGAGTGTTTCCATATGTTCAAGTCCAGAAAACTCCACGAGGACACAGTCACACACCAGTCCATGACCATGGGCTGGCTGAAGCCTGGGGGTGGGCCACAGTGGTGTCACCCCCTGTTGGAGGTGCTGTGTCTTTCTCGCTCATGGAAGAAACAGACTTTACAACTGGACCCTGCACCCCACACCTATACTTTAGTTTTGTGTGCAGCAACACTGCCCCCCCTTGGTCTGATGCCCTAGGGCCTTGGCTGGTCTTCCGCTGGAACCCTTGGCCCATGTGTTTTCTGGGCCAGCTCCTTCTCCTCATGCAGGTCTCTGTGCAAACATTGCTCGAGGGACCCACTCCCCCACCTCCAACAATTACATTTTCATCCCGTCTTTATAGCACATATCACGGTTGGAAATGATCTCGTTTATTCGCTTCCCAGTTCATCTTCTACTCAAGGAGAATGTGAGCCCCGTAGGGGCAGGGATGTTTTCAGCTGTGTTCACCGCTGTACCCCAGCTCCACACCAGACTAGGCAAAGGGTATAATGGGGTCTGCAGAAGCAGGTACCATGTTCTCCAAAGGAACATGGTTCTGCTCTGAGATTGTTGTACTGACTGCAAAGATTTCAGGTGGGGGTAGCTGGGGCTTGGTACCCAGGAGAATGGGGACTGATGGAGGAGTTGGGCACAGGTCACCCCTTAGATTCAGTGTTGAGGCCCTAGGTGGGGGTGGTAGAACTCAGGTCCTTGAGGGAGGCGCTGCTACTCCACAGGCATGGACAGGGGGTGGGGGCTGGGCCAGGCCCGTATACGATGACTCTCTCTTCCTCCATCTTCTATCTTCTGGGCCTCAACACTGTCTGTCTTGATCCTCATGTACTGGTGGTCTGAGTGTCCAGGAGCTCAGGCTGGGCATTGAGTGTGGGCGGTGCAGGGCCCTGGGCCAGGACCACGGCTACGTCAGACCCTCCGCAGATGATGGTGAAGGTTTGGGATTCCTCAGGTCCAGGGAGCTGGGTCATCCCAAGCAAAGACACAGTAGAGAGAGGGAGCACATGGGTATGGGGAAGAGAGAGATGGACAGACAGAATGGTGAGGGACAGAGAGGCCAGGGTATCAGGAAACAGAGGTGGGGACAGAGACATATGGGGAGACAGGGGCACAGACAGGAGATCCAGAGATGTTCAAGGGTGAGGAAAAGTTTATGAGGAAACAGTGCACTCACCCCGGGGTGCAGAAAGACCATGAATGTGGGGGAGAGGAGGAGACAGAGAGTGGGTGTGGGAGGGGAGGCAGAGAGAAAGTGACTGTCAGCCCAGGGACCCTGCAGGCTCTGTGAAGAGCCCCAGGCCTGAGTCTGAGCTCTGTCCCTGCTTCCCCTCCCAGTGCCCCAGGTCACAGCCAGGTGCTGCTCCCGCTCACTCTTACCTGGTGCTGCAGGATCTGCTGAGCCTTCGGGAAAGACCAGAAATTATTTTAAAGCACTATCGAGGTCAAACAGATGGTATCTATGGGTCATGTCCAGCCCACTGGCCGTCAGGGTGTGATGTCCTAGCTAGACTGGGGGCTCCTTTCTGAACCACCCCCTCCCATGAGTCTTGCATCCATACCTCTCTCATCGAGGCATCCAGGGATGCCGCATCAATCTCTAGGGAACATCGAGTGTGGCCCTGGGTTTTTAACAGGAGAAAGGCCTGGTTAAACTATGGTTTTGGGGGCCAGCAGGTAGTGTAGTGGTTAAAGCACTGGACTCCCACATGGTCAATTGCAGTTTGAGTCCTGGACCCTGCAGCTTGAAACTCACGCTGGACACATATGCATGCATGTCCAAAATCCTGAGAGGAGAATGGAAGAGTGAACCAGCAGTTAGCGCAATGGCTATGTCGCTGGACTCCCACGTAGTCAACCACGGTTCACGTCCCAGACCCAGTGGCTTAAAACTCATGCCGGGTGTGTGTACGTGCTTGCCCAAGATCCTGAGAGGAGAATGGAGGAGAAGGGATTGTGGCGTGGCCATCCCCCCTGGGGGGTGATTTCTCGTTTTCTGTCTCGAAGAGATGGGATTGTGGTGTGGCCATCCTGGGGGCGGGAGAGGGATGGGGGGGTAGGGAGGTTTCCTCACTTTCTGTCTCTGTGTCTCTAGTGAGCACACACTCCCTATAACAAAAATCTCTTAAAAATAATAAAAAATAGTAATCTTCAGAAATGGGGACAGCACATGGTATAATGGTTACATTGCTGGACTTCCACATAGTTGACCACAGGTCAAGTCCCAGACCCAGCAGCTTAAAATTCACACCGGGTGCATGTGCATGCATGCCTAAAATCCCAAGAAGAGAACGAGGAGAAGGGATTGCAGTGTGGCCATCCTTGCTGCGGGGTGATGTGTTTGTCTCACTGTTTGTCTCTCTGGTGAGAGCATGTGCCCTTAGCAAAAATCTCTTTTTAAAAAAATGAACTATGATTTCCAGATATGACAATGCCTTCCACCCAAAAATAACAGTAAAATTTGGGGGCAGAAGGGCTTTGGACGCGGCCTGGGAGACACATGTTCAGGGGTGCACACTTTCACTAGGAACTGGGCAGGGAGCTCTCCAATAGGAGAGACCGCACCTGGTTTTGGATCCTGGTTCTGTAACTTACAGGTTACCTGACTTTGGGCAGGCTGCGGACTGCTCTATGCCTCAGTTTTTTCATCTTGAAAATGGGGACATCTATGGTGAGTTCTTGTGAGTTACTGCTCCAACTGAATACTTAAATACACTAGTATTAATAAATGGAGCAGTCATTACTCAGCTCCTACCAATAGTTGCTCGGCACGGTTAGATTGATGTTTTTGGAAACGTGGGTATAAAGTGTTCACTTAAATATCAGACTTCAGTTTCAACAATAGCACGCAGTGGGCTTGCCAGGCCCCGCGGGCCCAAGGCACTCACCGGGCGCTGCAGGCCCCGGCGGGCCCGCGCCAGCAGGCTCTCCCTGCATAGCAGCTGCTCTAGAGCCCGCAGCTGGGCCTTGTGCCGCTCCTGGCGCTGCTGTAGCCTCCGCACCCGCCGCTGCAGCGCTCCCAGCATCGCGCCCAGCCCGGCCCGGGTGTGATGGACCGGCACTTCAGGCTCCGGCTGGGCGGGAGCAGGTGGAAGGGGCAGAGGGGTCAGAAGCACGGTGGCTGCAGTCTCTGGGGGCCCAGCTGCGGACCCCAGCACCAATAAGTGCACTGAGCCAGAAGCGGGGGCGGCGGGGCTCCGGGACGGGGGCGTAATCTCCTGCGGAGGAGGCGGTGCAGCTGGTTTCTCAGTGTTGCCTCGAGTAGTCCGCTGGCTCTGGAAAACAGGACGTGGGGTGCAGGGAATCAGGGCCAGACTCCCAGGGCCTTTTCTCAGGAGGTAAGGGTTTTAGAGGTGTGGGGGGGTCAATCTCCAAGGGGGACTCCTTAGGTAAGGTCAGACTTCAGGGAGAAACTTCCCTCAGAAGGTGCTGAGGGTCTGACTCGAGGAGAAACTTCTTTAGCAGTGAAGAGCTGGAGTGAGCACAGGTGGGAAGGCTAGGGGGTCAGCTCCAGCTGTAAGCCCTCCTAGAGCTCACCTTGGAGGTAGGCGCCCGAGAGAAGATGGAGGGCACTGCATCTGGCCGCAGGTAGCGCACGCCCCAGCGCCACTGGAAGCAGGAGGGGGTGAAGTGCTCGCTGCACAAATGCTGGTGGCAGCTGGGCACCCAGTGCTCACGGCCCATGTGCTGCAGCCAAGCCTGCAGCCGGGGACCATCCTTCAGTGGGAACCTGCAGGGGTGGCAGGGTGGCCAGGTCAGCACTAGCAGGTGCAGAGGCACCCTTCCTGAGGTCCCTGGATGCCAAGCCTGCATCTCCCCAGGGGCCAGGAATTGGCCCTGCCTCCACCCAGGCTTTCTCTACCTTCTACCCACACTCCACCCCTTGAGTCCACTTTTTAAATGTCCAGCATTAGCCCAGCACACTCCCTGCACCACCCTGTCCCTCCTTTCCAGCCTCCTTTAAAAAAGAAAGAGGGGCCAGCAGGTGGCATGGTGGTAAGGTGCTGAACTTCCACATGGCCAACTGAGGTTCAAGTCCTGGACCTGGTGGTTTGCTTTCTCACTTTCTCTCTTTTTCTCTCTCTGGTACCCTACAGCAAATGAAATAATAATTAAATTAAATTAAAATAAATAATTATTTGAAAGAAGAAAGAAAAATAGATTTTAAGACAATGGGGGGGCACCAACAGGTGGCAGGATGGTTAAGGCATGGACACTCCCCCACATGGCCAACCATGGTTTGAGTCCTGGACCTGGTGGCTTGCTTTCTCACTTTCCCTCTTGCTCTTGCTCTCTCTGTGTGTCTTTCTCTGGTCAAGTTAAAAAAAATAGGGAACTAGCAGTTAGCGTAATGGCTATGTCGCTGGACTCCCACGTAGTCGACTGCGGTTCGAGTCCCGGACTCGGTGGCTTAAAACTCACGCCGGGCGTGTGTGCGTGCATGCCCAAGATCCCAAGAGGAGAATGGAGAAGGGATTGTGGCGTGGCCATCCTCCCGGGGGGGGGTGATTTCTCGCTTTCTGTCTCTATGTCTTTCTCTGTCTGTCTGGCGAGTGCACGCACCCTATAGCAAAGACCTCTCCAAAAAAAAAAGTTAAAAAAATAAAATGAATAAGTAACATTAAATTAATAATTCTTTAAAAAAGACAATGGGGGAATTGAACATAAATGATATTTGAAATTAATTTTTAATTTTTTTTTGGAGAGGTTTTTGCTATAGGGTGCATGTGCTCGCCAAAAAGACAGAGAGAAACAGAGAGACAGAAAGCGAGAAATCACCTCCCAGGGGGGATGGCCATGCCGCAATCCCTTCTCCTCCATTCTCCTCTCGGGATCTTGGGCACGCACGCACACGCACCCAGCGTGAGTTTAAGCCACCAGGTCCAGGACTCGAACCGTGGCCGACTACATGGGAGTCCTGCGACATAGCCATTACGCTAACTGTTGGTCCCTATTTGAAATTAATTTTGCTGAGTGTGATGACTGTATTGGTTTGTCTCTAAAACAGTCTCTCTCTCTCTCTCTCTCTCTGTAGGGACTGGAATTTGAACATTGGTTAGCCACATGAGATCTGGCTCCCTTAACTACTTGGCTGTAGGGCCCGCCTAAAATAGTCTTCTATTAGAAAAACATTCTAAAATATATATGGATAAAAGACCTGATGTCTGAAATTTACTTTAAAATATGTGCACAGGGACCAGTAGATGGTGTAATGTTTACATTGCTGAACTCCCACATAGTTGACTGTGGTTCGAGTCCTGGATCCGGCGGTTTAAAACTCACAGTAGTCATGTATGTGTGCATGCCCAAAATCCCAAGAGGAGAATTGAGGAGAAGGGATTGTGGCTGGGCCATCCCCCTAGGGAGGGAGGTGATTCCTCGCTTTTTGTCTCTCTGTCTCTCCAGCAAACACATGTGCCCTATAGCAAAAATCTAATAAATATACAAATAGGTTATTAAAATACTGTGAAAAAGAACTTAGAGGTATGTGAAAAGGTATGAAACAGAGTGGCAAAATGTTGGTAACTGGTGAAGTTGTGTGAGAGATACTGCAGATTTATTATACTATTCAATTTTTTGTATGCCTGCAAATACCTGTTAAAAAGTTTTTAAACATGGGGACCAGCAGTTGGCATAATGGCTATGTCGCTGGACTCCCATGTAGTCGACCACAGTCTGGGTCCTGTATCCAGTGGCTTAAACTCACGCCGGGCGCGTGTGCGTGCGTGCCCAAGATCCCAAGAGGAGAATGGAGGAGAAGGGATTGCGGCGTGGCCATCCCCCCTGGGGGGTGATTTCTCACTTTTCATCTCTCTTTCTGGTGAGTGCACACGCCCTATAGCAAAAACCTCTCCAAAAAAAAAAAGAATACAATTAAAAAAAAAAAAGCTCCTTACGATCTACAAGGGCAGGAACACATGTTGGGGACAGGTTTCACTAGAAGACAAGAGCAGTAGGGCACTTTTAGAGGTGCCCCATCAAACCCTACCCACTGTCACTGGGAAAGCTTTTATTTAGTTCAATTTTTTTAAAGAATTATTTTATCGATATTTATTTATTTATATTTGACCAGAGAGGCGGGCAGAGTGAGAGAGAGAGAAAGAAAGAGAGAGAGCGAGAAAGCCACGAGGTCTTGGACTTGAACCATGGTCAGCCATGTGGGAGTCAAGTGACATAGCCCTTACGCTAACTGCTAGTCCCACAATTTACCTTTTTAAATATACCTTATATCTAGCAACCTTGCTGACTTTATTCTAATAATTTATCTGTAGGGACCAGCAGTTGACGTAATGGCTATGTCGCTAGACTCTCATGTAGTTGACTGTAGTTTGAGACCCAGACCCAGTGGCTTAAACTCACGCTGGGTGCATGTGCGTGTGTGCCCAAGATCCTGAGAGGAGAATGAAGGACAAGAGATTGCGGAGTGGCTATCCCTTCTAGGAGGTGATTTCTTGCTTTCTGTCTCTCTGTCTCTCTGGAGAGTGCACACACCCTATAGCAAAAACCTCTCTAATAAATAAGTAAATAAACAGTCTGTAGACATTTCTTTTTTGATTTTCTATAACAGTCATGTCAAGTGTCAATAGTGACCACTTTATTTTTCTGTTTCAAACCTCTTTTTAATCTGAAAAATATTATTGGGGCCAGCAGGTGGTGTAGCAGTTAAGGTGCTAGACTCCCACGTGGCTGACAGCGGTTCCAGTTCAGACCCGGCAGTTTTAAACTCATGCTGGGCACGTATGAGTGCATGCCCAAAATACCCAGAAAAGAATGGAGGAGAAGGGATTGCGGCGTGACCATCCCCTCTGGGGGGTGATTTCTCGCTTTCTGTCTCTATGTCTCTCTCTGTCTTTCTGGTGAGCACATGTGCCCTATAGCAAAAATCTTCAAAAAAAAAAAAAATGTCCCTGTTGGAAGGCCTGTCTGTCTCTCTCACTTGGAAGAAATAAACTTGAAAAAAACAAGCATATATTCAAATTAGCTTTTATTTTCATAAAGAAGCCATGGAAGGGCTGGCCCTATGACCTGGTGGTCAAAAGAGCCAGATCCTACAAGGCCAATAACTGCAGTTGGAATCCCAGCCCTGGGTAGCTTGAAAAACACACCAGGTGCATGTCCACAGTCCCAATAGGATGAAGAAGTGGAAGACGCGGGATTGTGGCACATCCCACTAGGAGGTACTTTCTCTCCCTTTCTTTTTTTTTTGGAGAGGTTTTCACTATAGGGCGCGTGCGCTCGCCAGCCAGACAGAGAGAGACATAGAG